CCCCCTCATCCAAGTCGCTGATGAAGATGTTGAACAGTGTGAGCCCGACGACCGAGCCCTGCAGGACCCCACTGCCCACATCCCTCCAGGTCGAAAATGATCCGTCCACCACCACTCTCTGGGTGCTGTCCTCCAGCCAGTTAGCAACCCAATTGACTGTGTAGGTGTCGACACCACAGTCCCCTAGTTTTTTAATGAGACTGGGGTGAGAGACAGTGTTGAAGGCCTTCCTAAAGTCCAGAAAAACTATGTCCACTGCTACCCCTGCATCTAAGAATTTGGTGACCTGGTCGTAGAAGGCCACCAGGTTGGTCTGACAGGACCTGCCTCTAATGAACCAGTATTGGTTGCCCCTAAGCATAATCTCCCCTGCTGGCCCCTCGTGTACATGTGCCAGAATAATTCTCTCAGAAAGGTTAGCCAGGATCGAGGTAAGACTAACTGGCCTATGGTTTCCTGGATCCTCCTGCCTCCCTTTTTTGAAAATGGGAACCACATTCTCCCTTTTCCAGTCCTCTGGCACCACACCAAAGCACCACGAGTGCTCGTAAAGCCATGCCAGGGGTCCCGCAATGACCTCTGCTAATTCCCTCAGTATTCTAGGGTGGAGATCGTCCAGACCAGCTGATTTGAATACATCCAGTCCCTCTAGAAGTTCCCTGACTAGATCCTCACTGACCCTTGGCCTAGGTGCGCCTCCCCTGGGGCCTGAGGGGGTCCTGGTGGGGGGGCTGATTCAGTCCCTGCTCAGGAAAATGGAGGCAAAGAAATTGTTAAATAGGTTAGCTTTGTCGTCTAGTGTGACGACCAGATTTCCTAGAGTGTCTTGTCGTGGCCCCATGTTACCCGGTACCTTATTTTTGTCCCCTATTTATTTAAAAAAGGACTTCTTGTTGTCCTTGATCCGGGTAGCTAGTCCCAGTTCCAGCTCCGCCTTGGCCTTCCTGACCGCCACCCTGCATCCCCAAGCAACCAAGGTATAGTCCTCCCTGGTGATGGCTCGTCCCTTCTATTGGGTATACCTTTTAGCTAGGAGACATTCCCGTATGATTTTGGTGAGCCAAGGGGGCTTTTGCGCCCTCTTGCCCCCTTTCATCTGTGTTGGGATTACCTCCTTTTGGGCTTGGAGGATCGTCTCCTTAAGGAACGACCACTGTTCTTGGACAGTCGAGTCCCCTCCCCTCCAGGACCTCAGTGCCTCCCCAACTATTCTCCTTAGCTCATTGAAGTCCACCCTCTTGAAGTCCAGGGCTGCTGCCTTGCTGCAGGCCTTTGCCACCTTGCGCTGGATGGTGAATTCCAGCAGGCGATGATTGCTGTCACCCAGGTGATCGAGCACCTGCAGGCCCCCTCACCAGGTCGTCGCCCGTGGCGAGCACCAGGTCTGACAGAGTGTCTCCTCTGGTGGGGCTGTGCACCTCCTGGGTTAGATGGAGGTTCTGTATCTCGGCTAGGAATCTACGTGAGCGGTCAGACCTGGCTGCCTGCTCTTCCCGGCAGATGTCTGGAAAGTTCAGTTCACCCCTGATGACCACGTCCTTTGACCTAACTACTTCCATGAGCTGACTTAAGAGTTCCTGGTCTAGCTCTTCCCCTTGGTTGGGTGGTCTGTAGTAGACCCTCCCACTGTTAAGTCTCTTTCCCCGTGACTGCGTTGTATTCTAACCCAGAGCACTTCAGTGTGCCCCCATGCCACTCATTGAGGATGTGTATTCCTCCTTGATGTAGAGCGCCAAACCCCCACCTTTCCTCCCTGTCCTGTCCCTCCTGTACAGCCCTTGATATTCACCACCCAGTCGTGCGTTGGGTCCCACCACGTTTCTGTGATCCCCACTACGTCTGGGTTGGTGCCAGCTAGCAGGAGGTTAAGTTCCTCCTGCTTGTTCCCTGTACTACAAGCATTTGTGTAGAGGCATTTGAGGCCTCCTGTGCACTGGCCCCCCTAATCTCAGTACTGCCCGGGCCCCTGTTGCTTACCTGGGTATTTGTTCTGCTCGTCGTCGGTCTATAGAACAATTGAGAATTAAATCAGAGTGATACAGAGGTGGCACTGCCTGTTTTTTTTCTGTTGTTTGAATTAACTTTATGGGCCTCTGGTCTAACAGCAAAGAGAGAGGATCTCACACTGAATTTAATTGTGTATTTAGACAAGAGGTCCTCCAAAGAAAGTGTTTAATTTCACTGGGATCTACTGTTTGTTACTAGATGTCTGTCCATTTGTCGCTGTTTCTTCTGACTTTTTTTGGCAGACTTGCTTCTTTGTACTACTGTACGCTTTTGTATTGTTACTTGGGTACCATGCTTCATGTGAATCTGTTTGGGGCTTAGAAGTAAATTGGCCTACAGTTGAAGCTACAGATTTGGCTAGACAGATGTTCAGATCAGTTAGTTTTTCAGAGGCTGATATGATGCCAAAGCCATTGGTGCAATGAGATGCACATGCAGCCATGTCTGCTAGAGGGAGGTCTGATAGAGGGAGATTGGTGACTCCATAACTTTAAAAGGGAGTCCTTGTCAACACAAACGCAGCAGAACAACATCCCCTCTTCAGTTCGTGACTAGAAGAAAGACAGGAGAAACCACTTTGTACCAGATGGTGGTTCCTTTAAAATGAAATGGGTGTGTGTTAAGTCAATTCTATCCAGCTCAGTTTACATCATATATTGTGCAGAGGACACATTTGGTGCATCTTGTCACATTTTGCTTTGTGCACAAAAGCCTGCCAGTCAGATGGATACAAATGAACCAAAACTAGCCAAGGGAGAAAGGAGGGGTCTAAAAGGCTTTCTGTCCCTGTATTCAGGCAGTCCAGCTGTGGCCCATCTCACTGGTGACCAGTGACCAAAAGTAATTATCATTTGGTGGCTGTTTGTTGGATAGTCAGTCGTGAAATCAGTCCATTTCTGTGTTTATACAGAACACCAAAATGACTGTCACAAGGGATACTAGTAATTGTCTAACACAAACACTTCTTAGAACTTTCTATCTGTAGTCTCAGAATGTACCAGAAACATTGCTTCTCAGCATCTACACTTGCCAACATGTGGCAGAAGCAAATGAAATGTGTAGCAAATAACCAAAATGTGGAACACTTGTGTTTTGCTGCATATCACATTATACTTCAATTATTCAATTATCAGTGGACTTAGGGTTAAGAGCATGCACCACAATTCAAGGTAAAACATTACCATAATGTTGTAATTAACCTCTGAACAAGTATTTTAAATCCAGAAAATTGAAAGTTAAACAAATAAATCCAAATGTGTTTAGATTTAGAAATGTACTGTGAGATAATCTAAACAGCATTATCTCTGCCCTGTAGTGACACCATGAGGAAAGAAGAAAAAAATTAATGCATCTTTGAGAATCTGTCATTGAATCTGTTACTGTAACCATTAAAATGCTGTACCCATTTCATTTTGCTGCATGGAAGCATTTTAATGGTTTTAGTACTGGATTAGACATGGCCTTGTGGTTCTTGGCCCAGTGTGTCCTGCTCTAAACCAAAGGGAAGGAAGGTGGAGACTTGGATCTCTGTTTTCCTGACAAGACATTTTTCTGGCTTTGTTGCTGCAGGACAGATTAACTGATTATCCCAAGATGTAGAACATGGTTTTAAAATCCAAAGCACCCAAAGACTTGGTTACTCTCCCCATTTTACAGACAAGGCAGCTAATTTCATAGTAACTTAATGATTGAGGTAAGACCAGAAATTAAGTAATTTGACTCTCAGCCGTTTCTAGCTTCCTGTTTCAGAACCATTGGAGATCTCAGACAGATAAGGCAATAAAAACTAACCTTTGCTTTCATCCCCAATGGATCTTTAGTCTCCAGGCCTATCCAGTAACTTCTTACCAGCATTAGCCTCACTTGAAAAAACAAAAATAAATTGGTTTCTCACCTGTGGCTTTGATAACTTGTATTGATTCTTCTTTCTGTCAAAATGATACGCAAGTGAAAATATTTTTAATTTATTCTGATTTCATTTTTAGGTGCCTGAGCATGCAGAGCTCGGTTGGATTTTGGGGTGTTTTACTAGTGTGCCACGTTTACGACGCTTACCCCAGTGGAAGGTAAGGTTTATATCATCAAGGAGAAGGACATTTAAGGTAATTCTAAGAGGAATAGTTTTGTCCTTCTTGTATTACTTTCTCCTATCTGTGGACCACAAACACTGTGTCCTCCATTCTTGCTAGATGATGAAGTAGTCATTTGCTTTTACCACTGCAGAAAAAAATAACTGCATTTTAAAGGCTTTTCCTTAGGAGGTGTACCTATATCAGGGGTAGGCAACCCCCAGCACTCATGACTTACAGAAGGGGCCAGGGCTGTGCTGCCACAACAAGGATTGGGCCCCTCGCGGCTCCCCTGCCATCTGCCCCTGGCAAGCCAACATCTTACAAGTTAAGGTTGCAGGTTTTTTTGGTACTCTGCCCAAAAACATTCCCAACCCTTGAACTATATATTATGATCATGTTGCTGTGAGATGCTAAAAATACTATTTTAGCAGAGGCTACAGAAGCTATTCAATTATAAATTGATTTTAATCCATTTATCAAAATGCTTGAAGTTGAAATTTCAAGGCTAACAAAATACTGAATGCAAAAAGTACAATAGAACGTTAAGGTTGAAAAACTGAGCCACCTCAAACAAGAAATTCTGTAAGTAGGTCTTTCTTGTGTGAGGAGATAGCCAATTTGTTCGTTTTATAGCACAGTAGACAAATGGTTTGCAAATCTAAAGGGATATTGAAATAAAAAATAATACATTTGGATAATACTACATCTTAAAATAACTGCTGAAAAATTTTCCTTCTTGGAATTTTATTATTTTAAAAAACTTACATCCATTTTAGCATTACAACCATGTTAGTTTTTGTATTTAATTTCCTTGGTTTTTATTTACTTCATGTAACTTTTTTAAACATACCAGAAGGTAGGAGAGGGAAGGAATGAGAAGAAAAACGGCCAGAGTAGTTTGGATTGTAGAATTCAGGGAAGTCTGCATACCTCCAGGTATGTTTTTTGTTCCTGGGTTTTTTTTTATTTTAAGTAAGAAGAAAAAAAAAAAAGGTCAGGTTTTAAATGCAACAGCTGGTGTTAATGCACTACTTAGACTAGAATCAGCCTTTTTGAATCTGAGTTTCTAAAGATGTTAGGAAGGCTGGGGAGTGAAACAACCCCTCCACCCCCTAGCTTAGGTGGGAGCCACCCGTTTGTGGGGCAGTGGCTTAGCCCTCCTAGGGGAGGGCTGCATGCCTGGCCTGCAGCCCAGGGGCCTGGATTAGGTCTCTTGGAGTCTTTAGAGCCAGCAACATGGTGTCATGTGGACTGGGGTAATCCACTGGGGCCAGATGGGAGTGTTAGCTTCTGGCCAGTACCACCCCCTGGGAAGCAGAGCTTGGAAAGGATAGAGGGGTTGGTAGAACAGCTAGGTAGGAGGGCTCAGAGATAACTGTCCCCTAAGTGGCATATCTTTAAGACCCTGAGAAGGTACTTAGCACAGTTTAACACCTTTAATATGTAAACGCGTCCATCTCAAATACCTTTAAAATGGTTTAAAGGTAACCTGTAACATCTTCAGATGCTAAAGGTGCTCAGAACCTTTCATACTCAGACTTCTGTATTTTAAGTGTCTGGGTATAGGTGGAAAAGAGAGAGCTGGGTAAAGGGTCTGGTCAGATAACTTAAGGAATCAAAATTTTAAGGATTTTATTTTAATTTAATTACACTGCATACTATACTTCTGCGCATCAGAAATGCATTATTTTCTTAACTGCATGACAGAACACAGGTTCCAGTTTTTTGACTATTGCTTATATTATAACAAACATTGATTATCTGTATACTGGTTAGGTGCAAAAAACACCTAACTGCTAAGACCTAGACTTTGTAGAATACCTGCTTTATAGTATAATGGCCCTTTAACTCCCTTTAACTGCATAATTGGTGAACTGACTAGGAACCATAGGAACCATCTAATGGCTAACATTAGAGATAAGGTTCTCTGAGAAAAAAGGTGAGGAGACTGAATGAGGTGCTAGAAGATTAGTGCAGGCTCTTTGTGCAGTTATTTACAGTTGTTCATACTGAGTTTAAGTGTGGTCTCTCCCCCCCACAAGGCTGTGCACTTAAACAGGGTAAACTTGTAGTTTAAAGTGAAGAGTAGTAAATGGCTACTCAAAAAAATATGAATATCTACAAATTAGTTTATCCAAATGATGTGCATTCCTGGAATTTTAAAGGAATTGACTATTAAACGTCTGAACCTGTAGGGAGTAGTATGGAGTTGTGGAAAAAGGTTGGGACCACGAGAGCTGGATGCTATTCCCAGCTATGTCTCTGATCTTCCTCATGATAATAGTAGAGTAGTCCCCTCCTTATGTCTGTTTTTCCATGTTTAAAATGGACTACCTTTTGCATCCCTTTGGTAACGCACTTTGAGAGTCATAAAAATGCTATACGAGAACCAGGAGTTATGGAGATGGTATTATTTTAAAATGGCATGATACCTGGGATTTGAAAAAGAAGAATGATTCTAGCAATTGCCTTTGCACGGGTCTGCTTTTTCTCCCTACTAAAATAACAGTGTATATATGCATTTTAATGCACTGTAGCCTATTTTACTGCGCATTATGGTGCCACGTCAAAAACTGTGCTAATACACTGATATATGCAGTAAATATTGGCTAGTGCTCATTGTGTCACTAAAAAAAACGTATGCTTTCACTGCTGTGCTGTAGGGCAGCCTAATGCATATTTATGTAGCACCTCACATTAGAGGGCATTTGTACTTGTGCTTCAGAAGTAGGATTGGAGGGGAGGAACGATTTAACTTGAATGGCTACGAAAGCCTTTCTAATTAAAATGCCCATGGCATCTCCTGTATCAGCATCCCAGCACTTCAAAATGTCAGCAAGAGTGCTTTATCTACAGCGTGCTGCCATTTTGAAGCATGTGGATGCCGATATACAAGACGTGGGAAGTTGCTGGAGCACAGTAATTGCTGCGCTCCAGCAGACTTGATTAATCAAGTCTGCTCCGGTGCACTAGAATTCCAGCTCATCAGATCAACCTCCCTACTCATGTAGAGGCGCCCAGAGGTACTAAATTTAACTACATTAGCAAGCACACTTTGATGAACATGTAGCTGCACCCAGTGAGCACTAAAGTGTGTGAATATCTCTACAGTTGTGGCTTTCAAATTTTTGTATTTCACAATGTCTCTCACACTTATGCCTATGTGGTGCCCAAGTGCCCCACAGATCACAGCCTACCTCCTTGTTAGTTCTTTCGCCAGCCATGCCACAGAGATGGCCATGTTAGCCCTGCAGGCACTGGCTCCATAACAAAAATATCATAGTAGCATTCACGTGGAACTACACTTGAATTAATTAGCTCTGTCTCACAATATAAAAGATAGCATTAACAGATCAGCCTAACTTCTCAGCACAATGATGGTTCTATAGGAACATTTGTGGGGTTTGTTGATACCTCTTCCAGCTCCTTCCATATACCTACCTTTGCAGTCCACCTATGGCAATTCTACAGCCCGCCTATGGATTTGAGAACCACTGATTGGTTGAGCAATAAGAAATATTTGGTATTAACAAAAAGCAAATTCTGGGTGTATTTTTTCCTAGAGTTACACAGTAAGTCAAGGGACACATTTGTTGTAACCTACTACCAAGTATATCAGCATTTTATTTTGATTTGTGTAGTCAGGTTTTGACATTATTGGTCAAGCACATGATTTCCCTTTCTTCTTGTTTTATAAACAGATAAAGGATGCCAGCCAAAATAACGAAGGAAACGTTGGTTTGTTCACGTATCCTGTGCTTCAAGCTGCAGATATTTTGCTGTACAAGTAAGAGTCAGAATATCAGCTTACAAGAAATCAATTGACCTGTGTTGTGGACAGTTTTTGCAACAACAAATAACTAAAAGGAGGTGAAAAACTCAAAAGGTTTAGGAACAGATTACAGCTTTCTGCTTCTCAGTCATTGGTAAAACCCTAGCCAAGGGATAGAGACTGAATATCAGGTCACAGAGAAGTTATTCTCATCAGCAATCTGGAAAGTAACCTGTTTAAATTCGCTGATGACACCAAAATTTGGGGGGAGGTGAGCACGCTAGCAGGGAGTGAGAGATTGCAGAAGGATCTGGATAGGTTACAGGGGTGGGCTAACAGGAACAGGATGCGTTTCAATACGGACAAGTGCAGGGTGCTGCACTTGGGCAGTAGGAACCAGCAGCACACTTACACAATGGGGAACTCCCTACTTGAGAGCACGGAGGCAGAAAGAGATCTTGGAGTCATTATTGACTCCAAGATGAACATGGGCCGACAATGCGAGGTCATGGTTGGCAGGGCTAACCGGACCTTATCGTGCATCCACAGGTGCATCTCGAGTAGAGCCAAGGAGGTGATCCTCCCCCTCTACGCGACGCTGGTCAGGCCACAGCTGGAGTATTGTGTCCAGTTCTGTGCGCCCCATTTCAAGAGGGATGTGGACAACATGGAGAGGGTCCAGAGGAGGGCCACCCGCATGATCCAGGGACAACAGGGCAGACCCTACAGTGAGAGACTGCGGGACCTGAACCTATTCAGCCTCCACAAGAGAAGGCTGAGGGGGGACCTGGTGACCGTCTATAAACTCACTAGGGGGGACCAGAAGGGTTTGGGGGAGACGCTGTTTCCCCTAGCGCCCGCTGGCATAACAAGGAGTAATGGGCACAAGTTGATGGAGAGGAGGTATAGATTGGACATCCACAAGAACTACTTCACAGTTAGGGCGGCTAGGAGCTGGAACCAACTTCCAAGGGAAGTGGTGCTGGCCCCTACCCTGGGGGTCTTTAAGAAGAGGCTGGATGCCTACCTGGCTGGACTCATTTGAGTCCCGTTTCTTGTTTTTGGGGGTTTTGGTTGTTCTCCCGCCCTGGCGGGGGGTCGGGCTAGAAGATCTACTAGGTCCCTTCTGACCCTTAATCTATGAAACTATTAAATGGTACTGGATTGAAAATGTGGTTGGTTACCTCAGAAGTTCCATAGAATCATAGAAAGTGAGGGTTGGAAGGGTCCTTAGGAGGTTATCTAGTCCAGCTCCCTTCTCAAACCAGGACCATTCCCAACTAGATCTTCCCAGCCAAAGCTTTGTCTATCTGGGTTTTGAAAACCTCCAAAGGATGGAGCTTCCACCACCACTCTGAGTAAACTGTTCCTGTGTTTTAGTACCCTCCTACTGAGAAAATTCTTCCTAATATCTAACCTAAACTGCCCTTACTGCAACTTGAGACTGTTGCTTCTTGTTCTGTCATTTGTCACAACTGAGACCAGTCTAGCTCCATCTTCTTTGGAACAACCCTTCAGGTAGTTGAAGGCTGCTGTTAAGTCTCCTCTCAGTCTCCTCTTCTCTAAACTAAATAAGCCCAGTTCTCCCAGTCTTTCCTCACAAGTCATGTCCCCCATCCCCCTCATTGCTTTTGTCA